TATTTTGAATTGATTCATTTTTGGAACTTTGGATTAATAAATCAATTAATTCTTGCATTAGTAACTTGGAAGTTCAACATAAAATTGCTTTAAAATAAACAAAACCTTTTGGCTTTTACTACAAAATATGCCTCCTTGGTGTTTCCCTGAGTTAGGTAAAGAAGGAAAAGAGTAACTAGTCCTGTAGTCAGATAAGTGTTTATTGTTTATTGTTAAGTGCCTTCAAGTCAGTTTTGACTCTTAGTGACTCTATATACAGTTTGTTGTTGTTAAATGCTGCCAAGTCGGTTCCAATCATAGCGACCCCTGAATAGGATCCAAGGAGCAGCTGGTGAGTTTATACCACCAATCTTGTGGTTCAAACTGACCTTGTGGTAGAGTGCTTATCTTTTTGGGAGCAGGAAGCTTTATTTTTCGCCTGAGGAGCAGCTGGTAGGATCAAAGTGCATACCTTGTAGCCTCTAATCCCAAGTTTATCCTCTGGAGCTCCCACAGATAATTACTAACAGGGAGAATTATTTAGACCAATACTATAAATCTAATTGCAAGATGGTGTTGTTGATGGTGGTGTGCCGTGGAGTCGGTTCTGGCTCATAACGAACCTGCATAGGGTTTCTGAGGCTATAAATCTTTACAGGAGCAGAAAGCCTCATCTTTCTTCCCTTGGGACAGTTGGTAGTTTCAAACTGCTGACCTTGAGGTTAGCAGCCCAACTCATAACTGCTATGCTACCAGAGCTCCTTAACTGCTAGATATTGACACTGAAATCAAAATCGGGTACTTACTACTACTACTCAATCCTTACATGAGCTTTGTGTGATCTTTTCCTAAGCCCAGAATGAAATGGTTAAATAACCAATGTGAAATGAGTATTAGCTAAAGATTTCATTATATATTTTAAAATAAAGGATTAAAACAATGCTTCAAATATTATAAATATAAACATATTTGGTGTATTGAAGTATATGTGTGTGGTGTGTAGCTGTATATTAAAGTTTGTAGGAAAATGTTCTCTAAAAATATGATATGGCTCAACAGATAGATTTTAAAGTTTCATATCATGGTAGATTCTCAAAGGACTTAATAAAAATGCATTGATTATATTGAAAACTGTAGACTTCAAACAAGGAGCTTTGGTAGTATAGTGGCTACGAGTCAGGTTGCTAACCTCAAGTTCAGCAGTTCAATTCTACCAGCCGTTCTACAGGATAGAGATGAGGCTTTCTGCTCCTGTAAAGATTTATAGGCACAGAAATCCTATGCTGGGTCACTATAAGTTGGAACTGATGCCACAGCACATAATCACCATACTTTAAGCACCTATACTATTGCATTCTTTTTTCTTTTAACTCTGATGATAACCGATAATTTTATGCAAGATTTAAACTTACATTTTGGGATGCCCATTTTATAACAAAAAAAATGTCAGTTTTCAAACTGATGCTACAATATCTGTCCTTGAGAAAAGACGATTGCAGTTCTTTCAGAGACACTTGTGCATATAAACCTTGCTTTGAGTTGCTACAGCAGGATTAAGCTGAATCTGGAAAGACCTCATACATAGCGCTGGATATTGAACCACTTCAATTGTCTGCATTTCATGATGTGAATTTGTAGATCAGACTAACCTCCAGTACCTACATGCTATCTCCAGAAAAAATTGTTGGTGAAAGCAGTCACAAAAGTCTATCAATTGTTAGATCACCAAACTGCCTTGAGTTAAGCTTAAATACCTGGACTAAAGATATATTGGACATGTATCGATACAATCACACCTAAAAGTCAAAGCAATTTGCCCCAGTCTTTTGTGGTGTTTTCAGGACAGCCATCTTATACCTCATGTGGTTTTATTAGGGAGTTGATGTTTACATTTTACATTTATTGCTTGATGGCAAGAACACAAATTGGTTAAGCACTTTCAATATACCATCCTTTCTTTTAGGTATTTTTTATGTACCATCTTGTTGAATCCTTACAACTACTTCATGAGGTAGGTAGTTACTATCCTTATTCTTATAAATCCTCACCAACACTTGTTACTGTATTTTTCCTTTAGCTATCCTAGTGTTGTGGTGTTGATTTTCATTCCCTAATGACTAATAATAATGGACTCCTGCTGTGGTGCATATGATAAGCACTGGACTGTGAACCACAAGATCAGTAGTTCAAACCCACCAGTTGCTTCTCGGAAACCCTAGGTCAGAACCAACTCAATGGCATTTAACGGCGACGACTAATAATAGAAGCCCTGTGAGCATAGTGGTCTGTGAGTTGGGCTGGTACAGCAAGGTCATTAGTTCGAATCCATCAGCTGGAAGATGAAGCTTTCTCCACCTGTAAAGATTTAGTCTTGGAAACCCTATACAGAGTCGTGATGAGCCGGAACTGACTCAATGGCACACAGCCACTGATGACAAGTAATATTGAAAATCTTTTCCATGTGCTTAGTGGCCATTTACATACCTTGTTTGGAGAACTATCTGTTCATTCTGTTCAAATCCTTTGTCCAGTTTTTCTCATTGAGTTGTAAAAGTTCTTAATAATTGTACGTACCAGTGCCTTTATTATCTGATTTTGTCCCATTTTGTGTAAGTTCTAAATATTGACTATTCCTGGGTTAACTGCTTTTGTTGCTTGTGTTTTAGTATCCCATCTAAGAAAGTATTGCCTAATCCAAAGTTAAGATTTACTCCTGTTTCCTTCTGAGAGTTTCACACTTTTAGGTCCACACTATAATTCTAATATTCTCTTTAGAGATGCCCAAGGATACACTGCCACAGTATAAAGCAATCAGAAATTCATGGTGTCTTCAATGGCAACTAAGGTAATGTGAAAAACTTGCCACCTACAAGTTCCATATTTTATTCTTTTATCTGTTTTCCAGTCACTGGCCAGAAAGCGGGCTATATTTCTAAACCTAGTGTAGAACAGGTGGCTATAATCACATTTAAGCGGTAGCCTAGGGATATTTACAGAACCTATACAGTGTGCTGGGTAATAAATTAGGTGCTTGGACACACAAGCCAGAAAGAGCTCACATGCAGTTGGGGAGGCAGTGAAAAAAAGTATCACCGTACTGTGGTGTAGGGCGGGGCGGGGGCAATCTGTAAAACTCTATAGCCAATACTGAAAAATGTTAAGTGCTGTCGAGTTGGTTCTGCCTCAGCTACCCTGTATAGGGTTTCCAACTTACTGCTGGTAGATTTGAACTGCCAACCTTATGGTTTGCAGTCCAGTGCTGACCCTACAGCACCATACCGGGAGTCTGGCAAGAATGAGTTGTCTACAAGTAGACATTATGACCTTTTGTGATCAGGGAGAGGGGTAAGCAAGCTGAAGAGTAAGAGAATTTGAGAGAAACAGATGCTTTTTTTGAGAGAACTTAGTCAAAAAGGAAAAGAAAACATCTGCCCTGACCTGGGTATTGAGCAAGATGCTGTGGATACAAAGGTGAGGCCTGGCCCTGCGGCTGTGGCTTTGTCTGGACCTTCAGAATGGTGACCCCCCCACCATCTCTCCTGGTGCTGGCTCCAACTGGCATTATTTCACGTCACACTAACACAAGACCAACTGGTTAACCTTGGCCTTTCAGTTTTCCAAACCAAAATGAAAATGGAAACTAAGTTTAAAACTTTCAAGAAGCTGACACACTTGGAAACAGATTATAGTTCAAAGTTTCTAAATCATTTATTTAATAAAGACTTTGTAAAAGATAGGTTGAATACAACCTGCTTATTATTTTAAGGGAGTCCTGGTGTGGTGCTGTGGGATAAATCACTGGACTGCAAGGTCTGCTTGAACCACAAGGTTGGCAGTTCAAACTTACCAGTCACTCCTTGGAAACCCTATACAGGGTCACTGAGTCAGAACTGACTTGATGGTGCTTAACAACAACATCGTTGTAAAAAAAGAATGTGTATCTATGTTTGAGAAAAGATTTAAGATAGCTAAATGGTTACTATGTCATGTTCTGATGTACTTTTTAGACCTAGAAATAATTGTTAACCAGAGCAAATTAAAATGCCACTTATGATGAAATATTACTATAGAAAATTGCAAAAACAGAAGTTTATTTATCTTATTAAATCATATGTAGGCAAGAATGTTCCAGTTATTTACTTCTGTACTCAAAATAGGAGTAATGTTCAGATCTTTGCAGGAGATTGCAGTTCCTAAGATGAAGCATAGTGTATGGTCTGTTGAATGTAAAATGGATGCTCTGCTCTGTAAACTTTCACTCAACTCACAATAAAAAGTTTTTTAAAAATGTATACAGCAGCTTGACTTTTAATAATAAAAAACTCAAGAGAGAGCCAGTGTCCATCATTTGGAGAATGGAGAAATAAAACTGTGGTGCATTCATAAAATATTAATCATGTTCAGATCTTACTGATATGTACAGATGATTTTGGAGACAGATACTTGGACTTGATGCTTTTTCTGAATTAGCAATAAGACTACAGATCCTATAGATACAAGAAAGCTTCACAAGTTTGGAGACCTTCTCAAAACGGTTTCAGTCTCCTTAGAAAGAAAACAACATAATGAAGACTTCTAGATAAGAATCCATCTACACCCATATAAGGAGCTCTGGTAGCGTAGTGGTTATGAATCGGGCTGCGAACCTTAAGGTCAGCAGTTCAAAACTACCAGGCGCTCCGCGGGAGAAAGATGAGGCTTTCTACTCCCGTAAGGATTTACACCCTGTACAGGGTCGCTATGGGTCGGAACCAACTCGACGGCACTTAACAACAACAACACCCATATATGTCTTTCCTACTAAAAAAGACCTTTCCTAAATTTTTTGATACTAACAATCACTTTGGGAAGTAGGCAGGATTCAGTTATTCATGCCAACAAGGTATCTCCCCATAAATATTGAAGTTTGCTCTTAGACCTAATATTCATATGTCCCCAAAACAACTAAAGATAAAAATAGTTTTTCCAATTATCTTTAATTTCAGAAATTACATTAGACATTTATTTTCAAAATCCATCCTTTATAGAGAAGATAAGAAATTTCTAAAGTCCATCTTTGGGGTCTTTGGAGTTTCTTGTTGACTAAGCAACATTTTGAGTTGAGAGAAGTGTTTTTTTGTTTTGCTCATATTTTTTGAGGAAGAGAAAGTGGGTGTTGACTGTCCAGATGTAGGTGTTCTGAAAAAAAAAGACATAAAATGACACTTAGTTATACTGACCAAAGATCAATTAAACAGTCTTCTTCCTGTTTAGCCCAGATAACTGCTACCACAAGCATTTCCTACTCTATTACAGCCACATAGGGGCCATGGATTTCCCTCAGCAGTCATTCCCATCTGAAGTCCCCTCATGGTATTGGCTTACATGCAACATTTAGGAGGTGTATTGGTGGTTCTAGCACACCTAAAAGAAAAGGTTGGAGGCTGGTAGTGTTGTCAGGTCTATGTTCAATTTATATCTGACATCAAGATTCATGACTATCTTAAGCAAGAACTTTAAAAACACATTGTTCTTTATTCACAGCTCAAGACCACTTCAGTTCTCAAAAGTGAAGGAACTCAACCTACACGTACATGTAGGTACCATTCTATTGTATCCTCCTCACTAGAATGTGAGCTCCATTAAGGGCAGATGCTTTGGACTACTAATTGTATATTGCAGAGAAACACTCAATAAATACCTACTGAATAGACAATTCTCTTTCCTCTGTGTATTTGTACTTCTTTCTTTCTAATTCATCCCTCCTGAACCCTTCTTTGGGGTTTGTCAGCCTAAGTCCTCTTCCATCAACTAAATTCTATGATAAATGTAAAATGTCTTTCTTATTTCAAAATCTATCTTAGAATCAGTATGTCCTAGACAACTCAATTATTTCAAATTATCCATCTCTTTGAAAGAAAAATAAGGATTACTTCTGATCTTTTTATAAGTATAAAGCCAAATTTTCTTTTATCTACATTTAGCCAATAGAGTGGAAACTTATGTGAATTCTTACCACACTAAATATCAAAATAATTAAAATCAAGAATACAACAAAAATTGGATCTGAAAATTCAATTCTTACCTAATTTTTTATAAACTTCAAGACCAATCAAAAACGCAATACAATAAGCAGAGATGGCCCAGTCCTTGCTGAATTTTGTTATTTATGTTCTAGGACTACCAGGCTTAATTTCTCCTTTTGCAACAAAATTTTTCAAAAATTTCTTTCAGTTTCTATGTAATAAAATTTAACATTTATTGACTAGTGTAGTGAGTAGAGTATTGATGATTATTAAAAATCAAATCAAATATTTGCCCAGTTGTATAGTTGACAGTTTTGTCAAAGTTCTAATCAGATTTCTACAGGAATTTCTGGTAGATGAGTGAGCAAAGCAAAGGTTTAGTTGAGAGTTAAGTGGTTCAGTTTTGCTGACACTTAGGACAAATTAAGGCAATAAGGCTACAGATACCTAGAAGAAAGTGTCACAAGTTTGGATCCTTTCAAAAAGGTCTCCATTTCCTTCGAAGCCCAGCATACAACCTGGTGTCTAGTAACGAGGGCTGGAGAACTGTGCTGGAGCAGCTGGTCCATTTGCTACAGAGAAACACTAAAACCTCAGATCAGAGTTGTGATTTAGGAAATGATTAGATGGAAAGCGTTGGAAACTTGAAGTAGGAAGACCAGGGTAAAGGTAAACAGCAAAGACCTGAACCAGAAAAACAATAGGGAGAAAAAAGAGAGAACCTATAGAAGCCGCGTTAAGTAGAATACATAGAAACTGGCAACCACCTGGGTAAGGACCAATGGAGTCACCAACTGTGTCTATCCTTTTAGGCCTGAATATCTAAAATGGCATGTTCATTCATACAATAAGAAACTTAGGGGCACATGGGCAGGTCTGAGCGGTTAGCAGTGAGAAGATGAACTAAACCTGAGCTACACAGGTTTCATTTAGTAGGCAGCTGGGAACAGGTCTAGAGGTTTGAAGTAATGACTATACTGATAAGACATATGCCTTGAAGTGAGAGTTACAGATGTGGGAATTATGACATTAGAAGAGTATGGATGAAAAAGGGGCTGGGGCTGGGGGCCCAATGTCTGAACAGAGGACATAGAAGAAAGACTCAAGTTAACA